TCTTTTTTTTTTTTTTTTTTCCAAGAAGGAAGGATGAAAGGTATAAAGTTCAACTAAAAAGAATCAGCTAGATTTATAGTAAATAAAACAATTTTATATTTATAATTTTATATATCATGATATTGTGATTTTAATGTAATTTTAACATGTATTTCATTTTATATATGTTTGATTATTTAAATATTTAATTTTTACTTCACATAATGAGATTACAAATCAACAAAAAAGAATTTTATTCTGATTTTTAATTAAATTAAATGCCATATGATTTAATTTAACAAATAGATTGTTAATCCAATTTTAGCAAAATTGTTTACAGCAAAATTTATAATGTTTCGATTTGGCTTTGGTTTCAAGCTATTTCAATTTAATGTTTCTATTTGGAATTTCTTTCTGCGATTCCCAATCAGCAGACAATATTTTAAAAATGTTTTTAAACATTTATTTCTTATTAATTTTACATTTTTCACGATTCCTTTTCAAAAAAAAATTAATTAATTTAACATTTAATGTTTATTAAACATTATTTTACATTATAATTTTTTATTTGAAATAAATGATTCAAAAAACATTGTTTAAACGTTTATTTAACGTTTATTTAATGTTTTTATTTTGAATTTATTTTTTATTTCAAATAATTTTATTTCAGATAATGGTTTGAAAAAATATTTTTTAAACGTTTATCTAATGTTTATTAAATATTTATTTAACATAATTATTTATTTTAAATAATGGTTTGAAAACATTTTTTAAACATTTATTTAATGTTTATTAAATATTTATTTTATATTAATTATTCATTTGAAATAAAGATTTAAAGAAATATTTTTTTAATGTTTGTTTAACATTTATATAAAATGTTTATTTTATATTATTTATTCATTTAAAATGTGGTGATAAGAAACATTTATTTTACGTTTATTTAACGTTTAGTAAATGTTTATTTCACATTAAATTTTGTTTGAAATAATGGTTTAAAGAAATGAAAAGAATAGTTTGACTGCGTTCAGCAGAATATAATAGTTTTGCAACTGATTTTATGATTCTCTGATGAGATAGGATCATTCTTCTAGATCTAAAAATATAATCCAATCAGCGCGAAGAGAACTTCCAACAGTGCAAAATAATGTTCTACTGAACGCAACCATTTATTTAATGTTTATTAAATTTTTTTTGAACGTTTATATGACGTTTAATAAATGTTTTTTGTTATTTATTTATTTAAAATATGATTAAAAAACATTTATTTATATTTATCTGACGTTTATTATAAATATGTAAAAAATATTATTTTCTAAAGTTCAAATTAATAAAAAACGGATCGGAATAATAAAATAATTATGAAAGAGAAGTTAACATAATATGATTGCATTAAGTGTATATGGTTGATAAGAATTATGTGCATCGAGAGTTATAAGTGACGGATAAGACGAGACTCATAATCCGGAGGTCCTAGATTGAAAACCTGGTCGGTAAGTGAAAAAGATTAAAATATAATTAAAAATTAGAAATTAATTAATAAAATTAGTCGTCTAAGGTTTTTAGGCATTGATGATAAAAATAAATAAAAAAAAATTCTAAATTGTTATTTTTTCTAATTTTGTTTAAATGATTTTAACGTTAAAAAAATGTTTTTTTAAACGTTAAACAAACGTTTTTTTAAACGTTAAAAAAATGTTCATTCAAACATTATAATAAACGTTTTTTTAATTAAAAAAGGGAACTTAATCCATTATTTTTAACGTTTTTAAAATGTTTTTTAAATATTTTTAAAAAAATTTTTAAAAACATTGTCTGCTGATTAGGTTAAGGAATAGAAGATTAAATGTGTCTATATAAAATACTGCCAATATATTGCTAGATAAGTTATAGTTGCTGATTGAAATCATCGAAATTAGATAATAGATAGACAGAAAATTGATACTTATAACGTTTTCTAATTATCCGACTTGATAGAAATCTTGGTAGTAATTTATATTCCTCTGTTGATAAAGAGTTAAACATATTATGTTTATTGCTATTTTATTTAGATGGCGCTGGAAAATTTTATTACGTACGTTATCTCCGTAAGAGCTATTTTTATCATACGCATTCAATAAAGTTTAAGTTAGTATCGCTTGGAATATTTTACGACGATCTTTAAATAGATTAGTAATGTTTCACAATCTTTGCCAAACGGTTTTTTTAACCGAATTGGATCTATCAAACTTCCGTCGAATAATAATGCAAAAATAAAAGTATATAAATATATATTTAAGTTTAAAAATACATATTTAATTAACTTAATATATTTTATTCGCTTCATTTCCAGATGCAACGCATATTTAATATGATTTAATATGATTTAAATTGTGGTATTATTTATCGTAGCAGTCTTAAAATTCTCTTTGTAATAATAAAAAAGCCGAACTAACTTTGAACTTTTAAATATTATATAGTGTGTCTCTCATACATAGAATTTATCTGTTCTTAACAGTGTCATTGCATTGTCGTTAAAAGTGATAGAATAGGAGCTTTTTAGTTCTATTTTCATCGAGACGAAAATCGATATATAAAATAAAAACATCGCAGAAGCAAAACGAACATTTTTTGGAGGAATAACGAGATTATCCTCGCTCGAAATGGTCTGACAAATCTCTTCTAGAATGTTTAGAATATTTTTTAAATGCGCTAGAATGATAATCACGCGTACTTTAAAAAAAAGTAAAAGAATAATCGCAAATAATCGCGAATGATGCAATCAATGCTGCGTTTCGTTATTCATTGCAAGTATTGAAAATCTATAGTATACGTATATAGTATACGTAACGTAACGTAAACAACAGTGGTTTGTTCGCGTTGCTTAAAATCATAGTTGGGTAAAATGTAATTCAATTAACAAATTGCAATGTAATTCTTAATTCAATTAGTAATTATATTTCGTATTAATTGAATTTAAAATGATTAATTGAATTGAAAATAATTATTCCCAACTCTTCTTAAAATTATTAAAAATTTTTACCTAAAATGAAATAAATATTGGAATAAGGAAAAAGTCTCTTTACAAGTTAGTAAAAAAACCTTTCCCCATCAATATCTTCTTTAAAAATTTAAATTTAAAAATTTTTATTAATTTTAAAATTAAATTTAAAAAACGTGTTTTAAAGCTTGAATCTCTACCTTCGAATGATTGCTATATTTTTTGAATTTATGTGAGTTTTGTAATTTTTACATATAGAAAACTATGAGCTAAAAAAGATGAAAAATTTTCTTTTCACTTCGTAGATCTGTAATGTGCTGAAAAAAAAATTAAGCAAATTTTCGATTATCTATCGTAAAAGCTTAAAGTTTTTCCTACAAAATCGTTTTTTTTTTAAATGTTTTCACGATTTTTCATTCCTAAGTCATGTACTCGTGAATTAAGTAAAAAGGAATTTTGACTGTATTGCTCGTAACTCCGTTAAATTGCAATACGTTAAAAATCGTATTGCAATTAAAAATACAGAAAATAAAATAAAAATAAAAATACATAAAATACATTCTTAAAGCTGAAACTCTATCAAATGATGTAATTGTCAATTTTTTAAAACTAGAATATATGGGTTGATAAGTTTTTTATCAACTTGTAGAGACTTTTTCCCTAAGCCAATATATGAGTGTCC